TGATTATACGGCGCAATGCAGAATACCACTGACCAGTTAGAGGAATACAACAAATCCCAGCAATAATACATTATACAGCGGCACAATGCAGAATACCACCAGATATAGAGGAACAACAAATCCCAGCAATAATACATTATACAGGGTGTTTAATGTATTATTGCTGGGATGGGATTTGTTGTTTCTGTATAGCTGCTAAAGTTCTACAGTGTGCCGCTTTTAAAAACAAACAAAATGGAAACCTTAAAAAGGTATCTCGAGTTACTTACTTTGATGGTGGGCCCTTGATTGTCGGCGGGTAGCGGCGAGTCCGGAAGCTCCCCGGGAGGAGAGGAGCAGGCGCATGTCCTCAGCATGCGCGGGCTAACCGGCGTGGGCGCAGTGTGGCGCGCGCGTCTTAACCGGCGTGGTGTGCAGCGGCGAGCGGCAAATTTTAATTTTAGCCGACTAATCGACGATGGAAAATGTTGACGCTTTCCATCGTCGATTTTAAATTGCATAGTTGTTGCAGCTCTATTCTACAATGTAGGCACCGTTTCACATGTCCCAGCTGGAGCTCAGTGTGATGTATGAGGGTGTCGGTAGTAACTGCTGAAGACTACAAACTGTTCCCCCGGACGGAATCTGTTGATGGATTTGTAAGCACTTTTCAGCCTTCATATAACTGTACTACAAGTCAGCTACTTCATAAACAATGTCTTAAGGGTAACCTGCACTGAAAGAAATAGAGGCTGCCACTGTAGACCTCCTGAAAATGTTAGATGTCTGGCTGTCTCTAGTCGAAATGCTTTCATTGACCTGGAACAAGGATTCAGCTAGAGGAGTCCGAATTCCTGATCTTTTTTTGTAGCATTACATTCACTGAATAGTATATGTAGCCATTTGTTGATTTTAATGGGGTGCAATTGAAGCCCCCTATTTACAGTAAGTTGACCATCACTGATGTGGACTGTCCTCTCCATACCCCCAGCCTGCTGATTGGATGGTGAAAGAGCAACAGGAGTCTGATTAGGTCATCTCCCTGCTCTCTCCTCCTGTAAGAATGTTCCTTGTCAGTGTATTTGCATGCAGCACATCTGATTCCTCCTGAACGGAATCTCCACAAACCCTCTGTAATTTCCATGTTGGAGCTTACACAGGGTTAATGACTTCCACCCCTTCCTCATGCGACAGTGTTTGGACCTGCCAATTGGGCCCAAGGTGCTTGGGCCTAGGGGGAAAAGGTTGTATGCTTCCCATAGCCAGAAGAACCAGGTATTTTGGCAGAGTAATAATAGTCATACACTTATGGGTGTTGGATGCCTGCCTCCCCCGCCATGCTCTCGCACGCCCCCTACTTCCCCACAGTATACACATGTGTATCAGATGTGAAGATTATCTGCGCTGCATAGCTCTGCAGCAGAGTGAAGAATCAATGAGCAGTTGCCAGTCAATACAAATTATAAAGTCTCTTCTTCCTTTACATGCGTTCTGTTTTGCAGTGACACTGTCTCCCATAAGTCTTATAGTAGATGATTTACATCAAGCTGATCCCATTTACACACACTTCTAAAATAACATTATAGGTCTCATGCACAAGGATACAAATCTAGGCATAAAATATGCCAGTATAAGCGCTTCCGGGGAGCCCCAGTTGCTGCATTTTTCTTTCCATAGGATTATATGGACAGATTACGCTGTATGCACATGTAAACGCAAGACTGCAGCATTTAAACATGTATGAAACTTAAGCCCATACATGCGTGAACATGGCACAGGCGTATCCTGTCCATATAATCCTATGGGCACAGAAATGCAGCAGCCGGGGCTCCTGGGTGCAGCAAATACAGGCGTATTTTTGTGTTTGTGTGAATGAGCCCTTAAAAGGCACCACATGCCCATGCATTCACTTTGACTAACCTATAATCTATGTTCAGTTTTTCACAGAGAATGGGAATAAAGGGCAATAAAAGAAGAACGTTGGCAGATCTCTTTAGCCTTGAGGCTGAACTTTCACCTCCTACATGTTACACTTCTCTTGGGTATTTTATTTGTAGACTTTCACTCTGTCACATGGTTCGTTACCATTATTCCTATTAACAAACTCTTGTTCCTTTTTGGTAAGAATGCATGTTGTGTATGCGTGCTTAAATAGTATAAATTAATTATTTGCTAGGCAATTATAGGTATACACACCCCTCACCCTTGCAACTATATGTGAAAGAATGTGATCTGCTGAAATTTTTTTACTTTCATATTACTATGTTTTGTAAAAGCTTTTTATTACTATAACCTCCTAGGCTTTGATATGTATTTTCAGTTGTTTTTTATTTATTGGAATCAAGGGGTCTCCGGTGATGCATAGAAATATGATGTAATAATGAAATCTGACAATTACCCCATGATGTGTTAGCACTGTTCATTGCCTGCCAGGAACTCTTTTTAGAATTTCCGTGTTGCTCCCGCATTAGCAGGGCTTATCTTTAAAGGCTTCAATTTGCTACCAAAGTCCAAAAACATGCTATTTTTTTTTATATTTTCTTTTGTAAAGTCGGCTGCCTATCCCGCCAGATTGCTTCTATGGCCAGTAAAGTGCCCGACTGATACCGGAATGTCAGGTGACGGTGGGAAGCTGGGGAGGAGAGCGGCGAACTTCCATTCACCGATCTCTTGCCTGCTCTATGGTACCGGGATGAGTATTGCATTACTTCCGTTCCCTGGACTATCATTGCTTGGCTACTGAAGCAATTTGCACTTCAATAGCTTATTTAAAGTGGAAAGGTGATACTATACTTTTGGGGTCTAGTGTCACCTTTTTAAAGCGGACCTGTCACCACTAATATGCTATCGCATGGGGGGCTTGTAAGCCCCCCTATATGATGGCAATTACTAAACTAGTTTAAAAAAATTGAATAAAATAAATGTAAACATAAAAGTTATCCGCCCCCAATTTGCGCACGCGCATTCACGCAAACTCGTGTCGTGGGCGCCTATGCACGAAAATGTGTGTGTATATTATAATAATAATATATAGTCTCGTATTTTTTCAGCACCTGTTCACACTGCAAAGTTGCCTTCAGGTGGGTTGAAGTGCGTTGCAGAAATATGTAGATGAGCTGCATTTTTCTGGAATGTGCCGGAGCTCACCTAAAGTCACCGTCCATTCTTCAAATGAATAGAATATTACACACAGAGCTTTTCTCCAGGTGCTGAGGCTGAGCATTCTGGCTTTGGTACAGTGCGAGGGCCTGTATCATGTAGCCTAGGGGAAATATGTCATCCATACACCTAAGGTTGCCACCTGTCCAGGATTCATCCGGACAGTCCGGGTTTTAAATGCGGTGTCCGTGTTTCATGGCAGCAGAAACCCAGACACCAGATGTCAGGCAGACAGGGACAACCAAAATTAAGATAGGGGCTACTGGCCCCCTACTGAAAATAGTTTCAACTGTGATATTTACATATCAATGGGTGTCGCTATTTACATATGCACACTCCACGGCTCCCAAAAAAAATGTCCACGCCTCGCTCGAGTGTTCGGGTTTCGCTTGAAGAAAAGGTGGCAACCCTACGTACACCTTTTGCTTCAAAAGTTCCTCTTTATTGACGTTCTTACAGCATATCCGAAAGGATTGCAACGTTTCAGAACCGCCCAGGGTCCTTTCATCTGGCAAAGTGTTAATAACACGAAGTGCTATACATCAACATATATGCAAAGTGATCAACATGGGGGGGGGGG